AGTTTCGGCTCCAGAAACCAGCATACGCTCTTTGTCTCAGAAAAATAGCTTAGCGATTGACTTCCTGGAAAATTTATGGTGCTTCCTTCGCTCATCTTTTCCCAGTAAGGCACAAACATTGTTGGGTCTCCACTGCAATTATGATAAATTTTATTTATCCCAAATCAATATCCACTTTCATAACATAACATAAGTTTTAGGCTTATATGATCCGCTAATATTGTCTCATATTTCTTTTTCAATTCATCTACTTAAATTGTCTCATATCCAGTGTAGTAAAGTTTGTGCGATTCTAGTGTAATATCAATCACATAAACCCATTTTCTCAACCAACACACCACCTCCTCATATCAGTAGGTCGGATAATCAAAATAAGTAAGACAATTTTTGCGCTTCTTACATATCTTACATTATCGGATTATTTACATATCTTACTCCGGATTTATCCATATACCATAATAAACTAATGAAGAATAGTGGCAAATAAGTCCTTGAACTATTTGCTCTTCTGCAATCAAACCTATTAACCGGAAGACTTGCAGGTACATTCATTAACCAGGTGAAAATTAATCAATCAGATCCTTTTTAGGTGTTGGTGCTTGTAATTTCTCATTTCCTTATTTGCACCGACAGGTAAAAAAGGATTTGACTGCATAATTTTCAATGAGTTGAGGGTGTGTTTTTAGCAATAACACCCTTAAATCCGTAGTTAATTAATGGGAGTGGCTGGCAATTCTTAGAATGGACTTATTTCTCTTGTTTCTTTATTATGATGAGTTTTGCTAGGTGTACACATTTTGTGTAAATAAAATGTGTACACATTTATGTCCTTCACAAAAAATTTGTCTGTCATAGACAACTCAAAAATAGTTGTCTATGACAAACAATTTTTTTTGCAAAGGACGGACATGTGTATACATTTTGTGTACACAAAATGTGTAATCAAGCATTTTTCTTATTATGATATCTAAAAACGATACAGTACGTATTAGAAGAAGAAGAAAACTTACTGGTCAAGGTTGACAAGAGCATCAGCATTAAGTTTCCCATTTTCAGCAATAAATTTGGTAGGAGAAACTGCGAAAGACCTTTTAGGAGCAGAAGTTTTAATCGTCACACCCATTCTCCAAATCTCCGTAATATCGAGATTTCCCAGAAGAACCCCTAATTCTCTTCCTCATTTCTTCATTATCATTGTATATATATACATATATTCATTAAGTATTACATTCGTTCCAAAAATATCCTGTCACTTTCATTTTGGACGTTTGTTTTTCTAGTTTCATTTTATTGTATGATTTGGGCAATAATTTTAAAGAGCCCGTTGCGTGCTCTTTAATGAGCACGTAGCTAATCCGCTGGGGAAATGCTCCGTAATATGTTTATTTATTTTTTATTTTTTTTATTTTTTTGATAATATGTTTATTTATTTAAGTTAAAATACGTACTTATGTAGTACGTCTCTCTTCATATACCATCTTCAAAAACTTTCACAACTAACATAAATTTACATTGTTCCAAAAAAATTTAAACGTAGACAACATCTAAGTACATGTATATATGCATTCTACATGAATCTTTTATTCAGTTTTCTTTTATTTTACTTATACATGTCCTTCCATAAAACTTGATCATATTGATTTTTTTTCTTGTCAATGATGTCAAGTTTGTTCAATGATATTTTTAATATGAAATTACATAAAGTATGAAAATTATATGAAAATGTTACTACCTCCGCCCCACTATGTTTGGCACAAAGGGATGTGACACAACATTTAAGAAAAAAAAAGAATTGTGTAGTTAGTATTGAATTGATAAAATGTGAATGAAGTAAGAATGAATTGTAACCATCCAAATATTACCAAATATGGTATGAGACAAACTTATTGGGATGAACGAAAAAGGTAAAACGGAACAAAGTTAGAGAGACGGAGAGAGTATATGTTAAAAAAATGAAAGTATACAAATTATAAATTTCTCACAGATTTAATAACAGACCATGATTGAAACTTTCTGATTTGGTAATATGTGACCTGCCTAGTTAAAACCAAATCAGATCAGACTTTAATAAACCAGATGAGATCAGACCTATATCATTTGATAAGAATATGAAAAATCTTCATTATAAATTGTGTATGTAATTTCTAAAATAAGTATATCAAAAATACCGTAACAAATATGTATTTTCTCAGTCCCATAGAACTTGGTCAAATTGACTTTTCTTGGTCAATGATCGTATATTTAAGGGGTAATTTGAGTTTGCACCCCATATTAATGTCTAAATTGGATTTTGCACCCCGTTTTTATAAATCTTTGTTTTTGCACCCCAACCCGTGTGAAAAGACAAAAATGCCCTCAACCAGGAATATGTTGAATTTGAAGGTCAACAAAATTGTTAATGGAGGGACATTTTTGTCTTTTCATATGTGGTTCGGGTGCAAAAACAAAGATTTTTAAAAACGGGGTGTAAAGTCCAATTGAGATAATAATATGGGGTGCAAACTCAAATTACCCCTATAGTTAATTAGATAATGATTTGAGTTATTATCATTGTTCTAGTAATCGCTATAGGCGCCCGACTACTCCCCGTTTAGGCGCTAGGCGGTGACCGGGCGCCGCCACTCTGATTTTATTCTAAGTGTCCCGAATAATTGATTGGGTGCCTAGTTGCCCGCATAGAGCGTCTAATTGGCCTCCTAGGTCGATCGTCTTGATTCATTGAGCATTCTTTTCCTTTTATTTTATTTTTGTAAGACGACATAGGCGTCAAGTCAAATCAATTATTCGAGATGCCTAGATCAAAATCAGAGCGCCGCCGCCCGGTCACCGCCTAGCACCTAAGCGGGGATTAGTCGGGCGTCTAGAGCGATTGTTAGAACAATGATAATCACTCAAATCATTATCTAAATTATACGATCATTGATCATGACAAGTCAATTTGACCAAATTTTATGGGATCGAGAGAGTAGAAATTAGTTACGGCAATTTTGATACACTTATTTTAGAAATTACATAGAAGGATACGTTTATAATGAAGGTTTTCCATATTCTTATCTCATGATATGTGATGTTTTTAATAGGACTAAAATTTTATTGTCTGATATCGTCTGATTTGTTTAAGTCTGATTTGGTTTGATGTTAACTAGGCAGGTCACATATTATCAAATCAGAAAATTTCAATCATGGTTTGTTATTAAATTTGTGAGAAATTTATAATTTTTATACTTTCATGAATTTTTTTAACCGATAACATTTTAAAATAATTTTCACACTTTATATAATTTCATATTAAAATATCAGTGAAGAAACTTGGTCATCATTGACAAGAAAAAGATCAATATCACTAAATAATTTTATGGAACGAGAAACATAAGTATATAAAAAACTGAATAAAACATTTATGTAGAAATGCACATTTATTTAGATATTGTCTAAGTTTGTGTTTTTTTTTTTGGAATAGTCTTAATTAATGTTAGTTGTTCAAAATTAAAAGATTTTGAAGATGCGTATATGAAGAGGCGTATAGCATGCCAATTACGTATAAAATATATCACATATTTTAACTTAATAAATAAACATAATAATACGGAGCATTTCCCTAGCGGATTAGGTACGTGCTCCATAGAGAGCACGCTACGGGCTCTTTAAAATTCTCGATGATTTGGGTGCCTAATGTGTGAATTTCAAGCCATACAAAATGATTTGCATATATTATTAGATATGTACTCCGTAACATATTGCTTGGTCGGTATTTTATTAAGTGTAACAACACTATATATTTATTTCCTAGTTTGTAGGCCACCATTTTGTAAAGTTAGGATAGCCATTTATTTTCTTTCTTTATTGTAACCATGTATTTCCTCTACTCCTAAAAAAAACTTTTATCTTTCCTTTATTGTCCATCCCAATTAAACTTTCATTTTCCCTTTTGATAAAGAATTTGTGGTTCATATACACATTTTTTTTCCTCTGCACAACTCTCCACTACAACAATAAGCTCCATACCCTCGACTTCCTACTATGAAAATAACCATGGTGACGCCTTCAGACAATTCCGATGAAATGGTTGCAGCCACGCGTGAATTTTTTCCCAATTTAAGAGAATATAGCCGGAAAATGAACGACCCAACCTAGCTCTCCTTTTTTACTTTCTAGGAATTTAAATACTTTCTCCGTTCTCTTTTAATTGCAACAGTCAACATTTCACGTTTGCCAACGCACAAGTTTGACCATTAATATCTTTCATTCCTAATTAGTAAAATATTTAAAGAAAATCATATTTTGAAAATTTAGAATTAGAAGAATTTAATAATAATTTTTTAAAAATTTAATTTATAATACATTAATCAATAAAATATAGTCAAAGTAGAATATGTGAATAGTGCAAAAAGTCCAATGTTACAATTAAAAGAGAACGGAGGTAGTATGTGGAATTACGGTAAAAGGAGATGCATTGCGAGCAAAGAGGAAACCGTTGAGTAATGGCCGGCTCAGGGGCTGTGTGGGCAGCCCAATCGCATAGGGCCCAAAAATTGGACGGCCCAGGGAAAAAAATTAGTACTACTACTAGTTAGCCACTAAGCCCAATAGCAAAATTAAAACAAAGGTATGGGAGTGACGGGCTGAAGGCGTGAGGCAAAGGGGAGGGGCAACCGGCGAACTGCGATTCTGCTAAATATCAGACGAGCGACGAGCCGACGAATCTCCATCCCCGGTCACCTTCCAGAGTTCCAAGCGAACAAGCTCCGCTCCAGTCAGGCGTGGACTCGGGCTGGGCCGGGCCGGGTCGGGTCCGGGTCGGGCCTAGGCCCGAGCGGACCGGCTGTTCAGAATTGGTGGACCCGGGACCGGCCTGGCTCAGAATTGAGCTTGCCATTTACTTCGTATAAATTTCCAATTTCGAGAATGACTTGTATTGAAAGCTTCGTTTTTATAACTATTGCCATTTTATGCAACAATTAGCACCGAATCTTTTAAGGTAGTGGAGGTGTGCTCGACATATTAAAATGATTTGTTTGTATTGGCTTTAAATGTAATTGCGTGAGACGTATAAAAATATTAAATTCAAAAAGTCACGACAAACATTGTACAGTACATTATTTAAAAAATTCAATCCTCTTTTCCATCTTTCTCCAAACTCTTCATTCAAAACCTTAGATATGAGTATGATTTTCATCGTCAATGGGATCATCTCTTCCTTGGATGATTGAGAGCTTTCGTAAAAAAGTGTTAAACTCCTCATCCTTGGACACCATACTTATCCTTGCAAAATTGCTTTCAACACCAAATCGGGTTCCAATTCTCGCAAGAATCTTGTGTTCCTTCAGCAGATCCACACAATCCACCTCTCCCTTGATTGTCTTCATCCACGCAAAAGCTATTTTCAAAATAATGAGAAAATTCTTTAAATTAGATTAAAACATAGATATTATTATTATAAATCGTGAGTAAAATAAGATATTCACTCTTTATTGGAAAAGTTTTATACTAATAATAAGATTAAATATTTCTAATTTTGGGAATAAAACATAATTAGTTTTATTTGTACACTTGTCTGAACGCTCGTAGCATATATATGAACCAAAAGACCATAATTATTAGGAAATCACATTTTTTTAAAAAATATACCTGGAAGTGTCTCGGTCATGGATTTGGCAAAATGGCAGTATAAAATGGGATATTTTTGGACATGGAATAGATCACTACCCTTCACAACTTGTCTTAACCTTTGCCATCTCTCCTTCAAAATATTTCGGCTATAAGTAAAGAAGTCATCACCACTAAAGCAGCTATCTGAGACAACTCCAAGGATCTTAGCTGCTCTCAGTTGGGAGTCTTTGGATACCCCAATTGTGCTCACCTCAATAAACTTTGTCATCTTCTTTGCAACTTCTTTATTCCTTACAATAGCCCAACTACAATTCATATGTAGATAGCTATATTTTATTATAATAAGATCAATATAATGATACAAAAATCCCTACATAAATAGCCGCTTATTTCAATATTTGTTCAGATTCAGTATTTTAATATGCCTCGGGTTAAGCCCGTACAGAGATAAATAAATGAAATCACAAATTTAGAGCCCGTTTAGAGACCCCCTTTTTCGGCTTATCAGGCTTATCAACCAGCTTTTTCACCAAACACGTAATTTTTACTTTCGCGTGCTGAATTGTGTAATAAGCAGAAAAAGTAAGGTTGGAGTTACTTTTCTGGCTGTATTGGCTGAAGTTACTGTAGATGACCATTTTAGCTATTTTTACATGTAATTTTTTCTTTATTTTATTAATAAAATATATTTTTAAAATATTTTTTTCTAGAATCAGCCAAAACAACCACTTCAGCCAGAACTTCATAAATTTCAGCAGAAACAGCCAAAACAACCGATTTTTGTGCTACCAAACGGGCTCTTAATACTACGTACCTGAAAAAGAAAGTAACAAATTTTTATACAAATAGAAAAGAAAAGTTTTGACATTATCGAGTAAGACGGAGAAGTATGTAATTATTTAAATTGACCCTCCCCAACATTTCATCTTGCCTACATCACTCAGCATAAGGAGTGTTATTATATACTTAATTTAATTAATTTTCATGCCAAGTAATTGTAAATATGCGATGAAAAATGCTAATTGTACACACTGGGTTACATGTTAGTTTACACATTATGTATTATTTGTGCACAAACAATCGATTTTCATTTTAGTAAAGCAAATTGTATGTGTCCCCGAAAAAGTGAATTGTCTGTGCACATAAAATTCGAGGTCACAAACAATTCCCTTTACTAAAATGAAAATCAATTGTCTATGCATAGATAATACACACTATTGTTTGTGCACATAAAATTCGAGGTCACAAACAACTCTCTTTACTAAAATGAAAATCAATTGTCTGTGCATAGATAATACACACTTGGCGTGTAAACCAACATTACACATTTGGCGTGCAAACCAACATGTAACTCACTGTATACAAGTAACATTTTTCATATGCAATAGTCTACCTAATTTCATGTATTCGTCAATTAATGACTAATTAAGTGGTATGAAATAATTGTTTTGCATTTAATAGCGATTCATTTAATAAAATGCTACAAAGTAAAAGAAAAGAGCAATTTAGTTTAATTACCCAATTCTTGATCCAGCATGGCCGGTGCACTTGGAGAAGGTGAAGAGCATAAGGTCATGGCTAGGTGCAGAGGAAATTGCAGTGTAATGTGGCCAATAATAGGCAAAGTCATAAATAACCTTTCCTTGAGGCCTATTAACCACAGGTTCCCTAATGGCCCCATCAGGGTTATTTGGAGTGGTTACCAGCTCGATATAAGCTTCCTCTTTATCAAAATTCCTTGCATCTCCTCCCCATTTGTAGCTCCTCGATCTTAGTAGGTTTGCAATTTCTGGATATGACTGCATGCAAGAGGCAATCTTAGAAGCTTTATTACATCAAATACCATATATATTAAGATTGTATTTCGATGAATGAGACGATGCTGAAGTCTATTGTCTGATTTAGAAAATACATATTATTATTTAGATTTAGATAAAATTGTTGAAACCAAAAATACTTGTTGGAGAAAGTAGACCCATTTAGTTACATGGATGAACTAACGACTAAAAGTTGAAAAATTATCACAACAACAAATATGGTCTTATAGAAGAGGGGTTTTAAAGAGTCATATATAACTTCTCTATGGAGTCGGGTGCCTTACGCGGACATCACCATGACCACACATTCTTTAATGAGGAGTTTCCACTTCAAAAATATGTCGTGTTGGTGATGTCACATAGGCCACATGACTCCATTGTAGGAGTCATGTTTGGCTCTTTAATATTTACATGATAAAATTTGAATAGCAGAAGGATAAAATTGACATATTTTACCCGACTAAACTGAAACACTACAACTAATAACGTTTCAAATTAAGTGATTATTTTAAATTAAGCCACGTTCTATTCTTCATGTGGATTAATATTCTGAATTGGTCAAATTTTACTTCATCTTGAGCAGAAATCAGAGATTAAAATACGTTTATGTTTAATCGGCCTAGTCCTCCTACTTGTATTTCCTCATTTTTTTTGAATAAAATGGTGAGGTGTTCCCCAGGCCTCGCCCCAAAACCTCAGTTTTGGTCTCTTACCGGTTCAAAAAATTACGTTTATGTTTACTTTTATTAATCAATCGAGCAAGTGGTAGAATTTTCTCAATCAACTCCCAAATTACTTTAGTTATGCTCATTCAGGTGGTGAGGTGGGTAACTCTATATTTTCGAACTCTTCCATCGAATATAGATAGCATCATTATGTCAAATCCCAGTTAGACTAATCTAATACTCCACTACTACCAAAAAAACACGGGATTGGCAGAGATTTTGACAAAGATTTTGGCAGGGATTATGCCAAATCCGTGCCAAAAACACTTGGCACGAGCTATTTGGCACGAAAAATTGGTAATTCCATGCCAAATTCCGTGCCAATCCCGTGTTTTTTTTGTCACGAGCTATATGTATAGTCTAATCTCTCTTTAGGCACGCCATCATTTAGTCTTTCGGTTCCAAATATCATTTACAATGGGGTCCCAGGCATCACCCAGCAGTTAAAAACTGTTTTTTAATACCTATTTAGAGTTTAGAAAATGAAATGAGTTTAAAAGAGTGCTTTAATGTATTTTGACAAATGAGACAAGATACTGATCGAAACATAAAATATGACATATTGACATATATATGTGATTGGAAGGGGAATGCTGAATGCGACATACCCATACAAGTCATGATATGCTTGAGTGAAAATGAAATTATGCCATATAGATAGATGCCAAGGAGTCTATAAGAGGGATTTTGTTTGGATTTTCTGATCTTTAATGTCAACATTTGCCATTATTGTTCATAATTACTTATTTAAAGTACTCCGTATATAATAACTCATTATTCAAGTCATATACAGATTAAAAGAAAATGTTCAATACTGTTTTGTCATAATGTTATGAGAAAATAATTTTAAATATTGTCAAGTGCCTCTCATAAATCAATAACAATATGTAACTAAAAAATAACTTTTAATAACACATATTATTTGAATCTATAGCAAAATTTATATGGAACTTTTATCTGACTATAAATCTAGCCATTTATCACATCAGAAAGTCATATGGAGTATATATCAGATTTAACAATCAAATACGAGTACAAGTTATCATGAAATGGGGTCACCAATATAACATTAAGATATACTCCGTAACTTTTTGCCGAGTAAAATGATCCAACTTCTAATGAGAAATCATGATAAAAAAAATGAGAAATGGGAAATGGTTATGTATCACTTTTGTTATATGCATAAATAGTCGGTATTATTAAAAGCTACTACATCTGTCCCATTTTATGTGTCTCATTTGGTTTTGGTACAATTTTTAATAAAGTGGTTGAAAAGGAAAAAATTGTGGTTGAGATTTGAGTACAGTAAAGTGAAATGTTGAAAACCACATATTTCTTTCTAAAAGGGGAAAGATGAAACTTATTTTGGAACTTCCTTAAAAGGAAAGTAAAACTGGTAAAATGGGATGGAGTGTTTCAAAAGTACATATTAGTACCCATATATGAGTAGTAGTAACTAGTAAATGCTACTATTTCAAAAGTACATATTACTACTAGACTACTAGTATACGAGTGATAGTTATTATTTAAAGTTAGGCTCTTATATTATTAGGTGTAATGTTATTTGAGCATAAACTAAAGTACTCCGTATATAAACACTCAGAGTCTATTTGGTAGCACCAAAACCGGTTGATTCTGCTGAAATTTATGAAGTTCTAGCTGAAGTGGATGCATTGGCTGATTCTGCTGATTTAAGAAGAAAAAAAATTTTAAAATAAATTTTATTAATAAAATAAAGTAAAAATTATATGTGAAAATAGCTAAAATGATCATCTACAGTAACTTCAGCCAATATAGGCAGAAAAAGTAACTTCAACCTTACTTTTTTGGCTTATTACACAATTCAACGTGCGAAAGCAAAAATTGCGTGTTTGGTGAAAAAGTTGGCTGATAAGCCTGATAAGCCGAAAATCTGTGTTTCCAAAGGGCCTCTCAAATATGAAAAGGGTACGCCAGGATTTAAAAATAAATACCGCAAATATGATAAACACTTATTTCTACAGCGAGATGAATAGATTGCCTTTTTCTGTTGATATGTCGTACAAAACTACAAATAAGACATTTTCGCAATAAAACATAACTGCTCTTAGTTTGTACACTGTCCTTGTTTTAGCCCTATTTAGACATTGGAGCAATTTGCTATTTTATTAAACACATAAATAATAGTATTCACATTTTTGAAAACGTAATATATTGTTAAGTAAAAGAATCAAGAGTAAAAACGTTTCAAGATTTCAAATTAAGATTGTCATATTTTTATTTCCTAAATATGAATTGTTAATGCCAAATTTAGAAAATACTGTATGCATGACACGTTTAAATAAAAATATGATAGTTCTGTTTCAAAACTCATACCTATTTTTACTCATATCTAAGATAATTTCTCATTATATTATTATTTATATCAGGAAAATATTAAGTTTGTTTGTGCTTCGCCTATTTTCATTTTATATCATCATCCGTTTATTGACCATTGTACTGTCTTAATGCTTAGCTTCCTTCCACGATCGGATCTTTTATTAAAGTTTTCGTTCAAATCCATAAATATAGCTTTAATATAATATAATAGTCTCCTTGACATCAACAAAAAAATAGTATTCCCCTTGACATTACAAAAAAATCTTTACATACACTATTCAATTCAATACCAAGGAATGTTAAAAAACCAACCCAATGTATAATCCTTTTGTAATCCCATTCTAACAATAACTACATGCAAGTATGCAACCATATGTTGAATTGAATCCCGTCGTATTTGATCACTCAAAGATTAAAGATTAAGTATTAGAAACATAAAAAGTTATAGTTCATAATATAATGAAGACCCAACCTTAGGAAACTTAAGCTTAATATGTTTCATGTTAAAAATATACTTGTATAGTAGTTATAGTTGTATATAATTATTAGCGTCAAACCAAATCAATACTGATTGTGCGACTCACATTCTACTATCCTTTCGCAATTAATTAATTTGTGTGTTGTGCGTCACTGTTTCCCCGATTCGTTTTAGTTAATGATGACTCCAATTAATTAATCATAATTTTACAAGAAAGTGTTAAAAATCTCGAAATAATTTAAAATCTAAATATTCGAGCCAATCATTATGAGCATAAAGTATAAAACCAAAAATGTTAACATTATAAAATGTCAAACGATTTATATGTTGCAGACTAATTCCGTCTCTATATAATTGTCTATATTTTATTTGCCCGGATACCATTTTATTTTAATAATTCCGTCTCTATATTATTGTCTGACTCGCGCCAAATTAATATTCACACCTTTTTGGAAAGACATTTACCCAAAATAGCTACATTATACATTAGTTAAGTGCAAAGTATATATCAAAATTTTCTATTTTTACAAATGTGATACCTAAAGTCTAAATCATATAGCACATCTCCAAGCACATTTTAATCAATTGTTTTTGCCACTTTTCATTCTTTAATATTGTGTCGACACTTTTGTGAAACAAATTTTAATAATTTTCAATATTCACAACTTTTATACTCCCTTTTTGTACTCCGACGAAATTTCTAGTTTGGTTCTTAATTAAGATATTTGGAGTGAGACACTTATGGTCATTGATTTTAAAATCCGATCATTTAGTCCCTTCACTACTGCAAAATGGACGTTTAAGCCTTTCATTATCATTTTATCACAATTAGTAGATGAAAAAATGCTACTATGATAGTAGTTGAAGCGTGAAAGACATACAAATCACTTTTATGGAAAATTTAAAAAAATGAAGAGAAAGTCGCATATATGGTCCCTCAGTTATTTACGAAATTAAAATCTCAGACCTGTATTTCTGAGATTGTAAATGTCACCCCTCAATTGTCCAAAATGTTGTAAATGTGATCCTTTTGAGGGGTGAAATATACAATGTGGGTGATAGTACATTTCACTACTTAAAGTGATCACATTTACAACAATTTGGACAATTGAGATGTGCCCTTTACAATCTTAGAGATACAAGTATGAGATTATAATTTCGTGGATAACTGATCGAGGGACCACATAAAAGTGAATATCAAAAGTATCTATTGAACAAGTCGATTAAAAGTGAAAAAATTAAAATGTAGTACTAAAAATTATGTTACTGATATGATATAATTGTGTTGGTATTAAATGATTGATTGATTAATGTGGGAGCATTTCAAAATATAAAGCACTAATAATCGTGTTGGTATTAAATGGTTGATCCGTTGATTGATTAATGTGGGAGCATTTCAAAATACTTCGTATAAAGCACTAATGTAGAAAAAATCTATAATGATGATAGGACATTGGGACTAGGATATGAGAAAAGTTAAAAAAATATGTTGAATTTAAGAAAGATTTAGTAGGTCTTCCAAGAAAAAGATATGGTAGGGACATATACGGAAAAGACTTAAGGACGGGTCGGGGGCTGACCGAATAATAAGGAGCGGCACAAACGACGGAAATGGGCTGATCCGGATCTGGAGGAGAAAGTGCGTAAAGAGCGGCCTGAA